AGCTTGGAGAATATGCAATAAAGTTCCACCCACTTTGTGCTTGTTTTTGATAAACCTTTGATCCTTTCTCAAAAATTGAATAGGTTTTGCATATAGCTGAAAGTTTTAATTTAAGTTTTAAATAGTATTAATTTGATATTCATAATTTATGTTAACTAACTACACTGCATAGAAGCAACTTCTTTTTTCTGCTGATTTGATCATGATGCTTTACCAGCTGTGAGTTTTATATGGGCACTTGCAAATTCGTTGCACTCATACAAAGGTTATGGGTGCAAGAACAGAGAGGATAGGATTAAGCCTAAGACTAAGTTAATATGAGGTTACTAACTAATATGAAATTATGCACAACCTCGCCTGGTTAACTAGTTTACTAGTTACTAGCCGGTCCTAAGCCCGGGTAAAGAGGGAAGGTTGGGCATAGGGCTAGCAACCCTACCCCGTAAAACAAATCTAACCGCTAAAGAAACTTCAAAGCACAAACAAAATATAAAAAATGAAAACAAACTTATTCCCTGCTGGAATCGGAGAGGCGAAATGACGCCAGTTGGTGAAAGCCTTCGGGAAGCCAATTGACCCGGCCGATGTGTCTTCTCTCCCTCGATGAAAGCGAAAGTAAACGTGGGGACATGGAATGTCCGCACCATGTTTGAACCCAGTAAGGCAGCCCAGATTGCAAGGGAGATGAGAAGGCATCACATCGAAGTGCTTGGGATTTGCGAAAGCAGATGGAATGGGAGTGGACTCTCCAAACTGTCAACTGGAGAATCAATAATCTACTCCGGTCACCCAGACGCCAACCACGAGCACACTGAGTGTTGGAGTGGCTATCATGATGTCCTCAAGAGCATCGAAGGCTCTCATGCAGTGGGAACCAATCTCCTCCACAATCAGGATCATGACAGCAAGATTCAGCTCAAAAGGAAGAAAGGTCACAATCATACAATGTTATGCACCTACAAATAATGCAGAGCAAGAGAAAAAGGAGGATTTCTACAGACAACTTCAATCAACACTGGACAAGACGTCAGTTGGCGATATCAAAATTCTGATGGGCGACATGAATGCCAAACTAGGAGGGGACAACACGGGAAGAGAACTAACCATGGGTCGAGAAGCGCTCGGTGAGGTGATGAACGAGAATGGAGAATTGTTTGCAGAATTCTGTGCATTCAACGATTTGGTGATTGGAGGCCAGGCAGTGTGTTGAGGCACAAAGATATCCACAAAGCGACATGGATTTCACCAGATGGACACACTACACTGAAAATCAGATCGACTTTATCTCAATCTCAAGAAAATGGAGACGCAGTCTACTGAACACAAGGTCAAGAAGAGGAGCAGATGAAGGTTCAGACCACTACCTAGTGCAAGTAACCTTCCAAATCAAGTTAAAAGCCTTCAAGGAAGCTGGTGATAGACCTCAACCCAAGTACAACACTCGGAAGCTGAAGGATGAAACTACAAAGGAGATCTTCAAGGCAGCCATCAAGACAAAATGGGAGACATCGAGGGACATCCCTGAAGAAACCTGTGTGGAAGAACACTGGAAGTCTTTGAAAGAGATGTGGAAAGAAACCTGCACAACAGTATTAGGAAGGAAGAAGAAAGAAGACAAGGAATGGATCTCGACAGATACCTGGAAGCTGATAGAGGAGAGGAGGATGGTGAAGCAGAAGATAAACCAGTGCAAGGATGCTCAACGACAAGATGAACTGAGCACAATGTATAAAACAGTGGACAAAGAAGTGAAGAAGAGTGCACGCAAAGACAAAAGACACTTCTACGAAACACTGGCAAGTGAAGCAGAACAGGCAACAGGTAAGAGAGACCTGACAACATTGTATCAAATAACCAGGTTGCTATCTCGAAGGGGAGAGACCAACACAGATGAAACCAATAAAAGATGAAGAAGGAAATTTAATTACAAAAGGAGAGAAACAGAGGAAACGATGGGCCGACCACTTCAAGAAGCTCTTGAATCGACCACCACCTGCACTTCGTCCAGAAATACCACCTGCAGCTGCTGAACTACAAGTGAACATTAATCCCCCAACGAAAATGGAAGTCCTGAACGCCATAAAGCTACTGAAATGTGGGAAAGCAGCAGGACCAGATGGAATCCCGCCACAAGCACTGAGAACAGATGCAGAGACAACAGCGGCCATGCTCACACCACACCACTATTGCAGAAGGTGTGGAAGGAAGAGAAGGTACCTGACGATTGGAAGAAGGGTTACCTTGTCAAACTGCCGAAGAAGGTAGACCTCAGTGTTTGCAAGAACTGGGGCGGAATCACTCTCCTGTCCACCCCAAGTAAAATATTAAGCCGCATCATCCTGGAGAGGCTAAGGGATGCACTGGATTCAAAACTACGACCGGAACAGACAGGCTTCAGGAAGTACAAATCATGTGCAGACCAAATTGCAACGCTTCGTATCATCATAGAACAGAGCATAGAATGGCAATCACCTCTCCACCTCAACTTCATCGACTTTGAGAAGGCCTTTGATAGCGTCGATCGAGAAGTAATTTGGAAACTGCTTCAATACTACAGAGTACCGCAAACCTTTATCCGCCTCATCCAACAACTATATGAAGATGCCACATGCCAAGTAATCCACAATGGGAAGCTCAGTGATGCCTTTGAAGTGAAGACAGGAGTGAAACAAGGTTGACTACTATCCCCCATGATATTCTTGATTGTGGTGGACTGGATCATGCAGCAAACAGTAGGCAGCGAGAAGAGGGGGATACACTGGACGACGGAAAAGAACCTAGAAGACTTGGATTTCGCCGATGACGTATGCCTAATGTCACATAAACTTGAAGATCTGCAGGCAAAAACTAACAAGTTGATAGAAGAGGCAGGGCAGCGAAGACGGGACTTCAGGTGAATATAGAGAAGACAGAAGTGATGAAGATACCGCACCACCACCATCAACAACAACAACAACAAACTCCAATCACCATCAACGGGAGAAACTTAAAGGAAGTAACCTCCTTCACTTATCTAGGAAGCACTGTTTCAACTACAGGCGGGACGGACGAGGACGTCAAAGTCAGAATCGGAAAAGCAAGACAGGCGTTCATTAGCCTGAAACCAGTGTGGAGATCTTCTGCACTCAGCATGCGGAACAAGATACGGATTTTCAACACCAACGTCAAGTCAGTGCTCTTGTATGGTTCAGAGACTTGGCGCGTCATGAAAGGTATTTCCAATAAACTACAGACATTCATCAACAACTGCTTACGCTCGCTACTGAAGATCAGATGGATTGCCAGAAAGAATAAGCAACAAGGAACTCTGGGAACGAACCAACCAAGAACCTATCACGCAACAAATATGCAGGAAGAAGTGGAGATGGATTGGGTATGCACTGAGAAGGCCGACGGAGGACATCACGCGTCAGGCCAGTTGCTCGAGTGGAATCCCCATGGGAAGCGACGAGTTGGACGTCCAAGGGTGACATGGAGGAGGTCGTGCGAGCAGGAAATGAGAGCTTCTGGGCTGTCATGGAGCCAGGTTCAAAAGATCTAAGAGAACAGAGGTCACTGGAGGCGTGCTACTGAAGCCCTATGTTCCACTAGGAACTCAAGGGACTAATAATAATAATAATAAAAATGAAATTATGCACAAGCGGTATGATTTAATACGAATGTTGTAAATGCTTAGCTGTGAAAACTAAGAACGTAACCAGCCAATGTTGAATATTGCTCAACTGCAGGCTGTTGATTTTGTGGAATTATTCAACTTTACAACAGGAAACACTTATGAAATAAATGACTAATCCTTTTACACTTTGTTCCTTGGTAATTTTCATCATGGGCTGATGTCACTTGGAGAACCAATGAAAACCCGGGAGCACCAGACAGCTGTTTCGTCCTAGCGTGGGGCGCCTCAGCCTTACGTATCCGTGCCGTGGATAGGGATCGGACCCTGGACCTTCTGGTTTCGCGGCGAACGGGTTTAGCGTTCAGCCACAGGGGCCGTGATTCCCGTTCACCTCAAAAGTACATTACTGTATAGTGTTCTTTTGTGACAAATTTCCAGATGGACATCATGAAGTTCTAATGAGAAGCCGTGACCTGTCATACCAACAAGTCGGAAGGGGAGCCGTTTGCCGTCTGAAGACCTTAGGCGGTGGTTGCGCCACATCGCGAATTGACAGAAGTTGGAAACTGTGAACCACTGAACTCTGATCCAGTGGCTGAATGGTCAACGCATTCACTGTGGAACATAGAAGTACTGAATCGATCCCTAGTTGGGTCGTGGGTGCGTACTGCTGAGGAGTCCCATAAGAGGATGGAACATCTGTCAAGTGCTTCCAAGTTCTGAATGGTTTCCCAACTGATGTCATTCCGTGAAGAATATTTTTTTAAAATACCGCGAAGTTACGGCAACTCTCAAGGTCACTCTGGCAACGATAGAAACTACCAATTAGGTTTCCTTATTTTTCTGGGAACGCAGATTTTCATAAAATAGAAAAGTTTAATTGGTTATTTTAATTGTTTCTAAGGTGGCCTTTAAATTTATCGCTACCCGTGATTTATCAATGGACACAAAGTTGTGTTGTTTGTCCGTTATCGAATCAAAAAATTATTTTTACTTTTGACGGTGTGACAAGATCTCAAACGCTTTGCAATTCTAAGTTCCCATTTTTTAATCACTTACTATACTGAATATTGCAGTACGGTTTTCTTAAGAATTCTTGTTTCTTTTCAATCTCGAAGTTCTCAAACTTAATCTACGATAGCCTGTAAACAAAAATTGTGATCCATAGACGATACTTATTTCAAACTTCAAGCTTACATTTTCAATATATACATATTTTTTTTTATCAAGCCAACAAGTTAGTTATCTGTAATTTGACAAATATTGTATCAATGTATGATATGAAAAAATTTACCATATGGTAGTATGAATTATGTATGTATGTATGTATGAATTATGTAACAAAACTTTAAATGATATATTCAGTAGTTTGTCTGGTTGTTTTTCATTTCATTGACGAATAACACTTCAACCAAGATCCAAGATATTTTATCGGTTCACTCGGTCTTACTATAGCCAATTCTGTTAGGCCTAATGACAAAGGTTCAGCTAAAATGAAAGTATAAAAAAAATGTGTAAGACTATTCATTGCGTACAGATGAAAAATACTTTCACATTAGTTATGCTAATGTAATCTAATATATTTGAATCTTTCATCAGGATTATCTTCCAGATTATAACTTATCGATAAACCTATCAATAAATACCTGCCTAATTCACTTTCCTATGAGGCAGACAACTATGTAGTGAAGACAAATTCTGCTTATTACAGAATTCAGGAAGTACAAATCATGTGCAGACCAAATTGCAACGCTACACTACGCATCATCATACAACAGAGTGTAGAATGCCAGTCGACTCTCTACCTCAACTTCATCAACTTTGAGAAGGCCTTTGACAGCGTCGACCGACAAGTAATTTGACAGGCAGTTGCTTCAACACTTCGCAATACCACAAACATTTATCAATATCATTCAACTACCATATGATGACGACACATGCCAAGTAATTCAAAATGAAAAGCTCAGTGATGCCTTCCAAGTGAAGACAGGAGTGAAACAATGCTGCCTACTATCAACCATGATATTCCTGATTGTGGTCGACTCGCCTTCATTATGCAACAAACAGTGGGTTGGGAGAAGAGAGGGATACACTGGCTGAACCAGGGAAAAAAATCCTAGAGGATTTGGATTTCGCCGATGATTTGTGTCTGATGTCACACGAACTTGAAGATCTACAGGCAAAAACTAACAAGTTAGCAGAAGAGGCGGGGCGGGGCAGCTAGAATGGGACTTCGAGAGAACGTAGAGAAGACACAGGTGATGAAGATACTCAAGCAACAACACCAGCAACAACAATAACAACAACAACAACAAACTCCAATCACCATCAACGGGAGAAACTTAAAGGAAGTAACCTCCTTCACCTATCTAGGCAGCATCGTTTCAACTACAGGTGGTGGTGGCACAGACGAGGACGTCAAAGCAGCTAGGATAGGAAATACAGCAAGACAGGTGTTCATTAACCTGAAACCAGTGTGAAGATCTACTCCACTCCACTCAGCATGAAGCGTGAACGACATCCGGATTTTCAACACCAACGTCAAATCAGTGCTTCTATGTGATTGTTGAGAGACTTGCCGCGTTGCGAAAAGCATCTCCAACAAACTACAGACATTCATCAACAACTGCCTACACTCACTACTGAAGATCAGATGGATTGCCAGAATAATAAGAATAAGCAACAAGGAAGTCTGGCTGGCTGGCTGGCTGGCTGGCTGGCTGGCTGGCTGGCTGGCTGGCTGGCTGGCTGGCTGGCTGGCTGGCTGGCTGGCTGGCTGGCTGGCTGGCTGGCTGGCTGGCTGGCTGGCTGGCTGGCTGGCTGGCTGGCTGGCTGGCTGGTAACGAACCAACCAACAACCTATCAGCCAACAAATATGCAGTGGAAGGGAGTGGAGATGGGTTCTATTGGGTATGCACTGAGAAGACCATTCGGTGACATCACGCACCAGGTCGGGCCCTCGAGTGGAACCCAGATGGGAAGCGACGAGTTGGGCATCCGAGATGAGGGTGATATGGAGGAGATCATGTGAAGAAGAAACGAAAGGTTGTGGGCAGTCGTGGAGGCAGGTTCAAAGGACTGCAGAGAAGAGAGTGGAATGGAGACTTGCTATTGAAGCCCTATTTTCCACTAGGAAGCCAAGGGACAAACAACAATAATGATGATTTCGTGAAGATTTATGTTTTTATCTATAATTGCAAGATTGTATTCCTTTACCATCCTTCGATGGTGTAAAAAGCATATAGTCACACACCGATTATCAACACTACTTATACTGATATTCACATTTTATTTGAATATATATTAAACCTTTGAATACTCACATAGTTCATTGAATAAATCCGATCCAGACGAAGTGAGAGAAATTGGATTCATTTGACTGAATGAATTGTCTTTCATCATTTTTCTAAATCTTTTAATTTCTACATACAAAATGAAATTGATGCAAAGATGTATCAAAACTATTAGTTAAATAAGTATTGTTGAAGAAATATTGTTTAAAAATATGATATTGTTTTAAGGGGAAATTAGCTCCTCTAAAACAAATGTTCTTGATTAATGATGGATCGTGGATAGCAGTGAAATCCAGGATGTGCATTTCGTCCTATTCAGCACTCGTCAGCTGGATGTACCTGCTTCCCAGTGAGTGATGTTGTTCCCATCGGGATTCGGACTGGGGAACTCTCGCTTCAAACGCGAAAGCATTATCAGTATGTATGCATCTCTGTCTTATGAAAAAAATGTAGAGATGAGAATGTATTGTTTTACTGAACAGTTTCACAGGTGTTTGACTAAAAATATAAACCATAAATTATTCCGAACAGAAGATTTATTTTTTTAGGTATTGTTTAAGATTTTCTAGTTCAGCTTCAGAGGACTTTATGTAAAGGTTTATATTTAGAAAATAAGCAAGTCTTCACATGAGATATAAGTAAAAACGAACCTAAATTATCTTATAAACCATTATACTCTTCAGGTTTATTTATTTGTACTTATATCTCGAATAAAATGTAGCAGTCAGCAAAATCTTGAGTTTATTTAAGAAAATAACATTGAACTAAGTCAGTGATTAGTAATGATGGGCAGTGGCTAGCAGTGGAATCCAGTGGAATCCGAGTCCGAGTCCCGGTGGGAACAACATCACTCACTGGGAAGCAGGTACATCCAGCTGACGAGTGCTGAATAGGAAGAAATGCACATCCTGGATTCCATTGCTAGCCACTGCCCATCATTACTAAACATAGTTAAAAGACAGGCAATATCGAAGCATCCGCATAGGATCCCATATGCCAACAGAGACAGATGAATTCGGTCGAATCAACGATGGTGTAATACAAGCAATAACATTAAGTCAGTGATTGTCTTTAGATATAACCCGTGGAACAGCTGAATGCAACCCTATTTACATTTGTCGAGTATGCTGGAAAATGCTAAGTTTATATTTCTTGAGCGTTGAGTAACTTATCTTAAAAATAAGTAGAGTCTACTGATTTAGATTGAAACAAACACTTAGTTCTCAGAAAACTGTAAGAATAAAAGATACTCCCTGAATAATAGATGGACATTTTTGATAACTATAAAAGATTAAAGGTAGATTTCACTTAGAATTGTCTCAATTCATGATAAAATTCACAGAAATGCGACTAATTTCTGTGAAATTTTTTTGAAAAAAAATGTTAAGTTATATTATTATTAGTCCCTTGGGTTCCTAATGGAACATAGGGCTTCAGTAGCACGTCTCCAGTGAACTCTGTTCTCTGAAATCTTTTGAACCTGGCTCCACGACAGCCCACAAGCTCTCATTTCCTCCTCGCACGACCTCCTCCATGTCACCCTCACCTCGGACACCCAACTCGTCGCTTCCCATGGGGATTCCACTCGGGGCCTGAACTGGCGCGTGGTGTCCCCAGTCGGCTTTCTCAGTGTATGCCCAATCCATCTCCACTTCCTTCTACTGCATATTTGTTGCGTGATAGGTTCTTGGTTGGTTCGTTCCCAGAGTTCCTTGTTGCTTATTCTTTCTGGCAATCCATCTGGTCTTCAGTAACGAGCCAGCATAGGCAGTTGTTGATGAATGTCTGTAGTTTATTGGAAATGCCTTTCGTGACGCGCCAAGTCTCTGAGCCATACAGAAGCACTGACTTGACGTTGGTGTTGAAAATCCGGATGTTGTTCACGCTTTATGCTGAGTGCGGTGCAGAAGATCTCCACACTGGTTTCAGGTTAATGAACACCTGTCTTGCTGTATTTCCTATCCTAGCTGCTTTGACGTCCTCGTTTCTGCCACCACCACCTGCAGTTGAAACAGTGCTGCCTGCCTAGATAGGTGAAGGAGGTTACTTCCTTTAAGTTTCTCCCATTGATGGTGATTGGAGTTTGTTGTTGTTGTTGATGGTGGTGGTGCGGTATCTTCATCACTTCTGTCTTCTCTATATTCACCTGAAGTCCCGTCTTCGCTGCCTCTTCTGTCAACTTGTTAGTTTTTGCCTGTAGATCTTCAAGTTTGTGTGACATCAGACACAAGTCATCACTGCCGAAATCCAGATCTTCTAGGTTCTTTTCCCCAGTCCAGCCATTGTATCCCCCTCCTCTCACAGCTTCCCACTGTTTGTTGCATGATCCAGTCCACTAGACCACAATCATGAATATCATGGGTGATAGTAGGCAACCTTGTTTCACTCCTGTCTTCACTTCAAAAGCATAACTGAGCTTCCCATTGTGAATTAATTGGTTGGCATATGGCGTTTTCATATAGTTGTTGAATGAGGCTGATAAAGGTTTGCTGTATTCCGTAGTAATGAAGCAGTTTCCAAATTACCTCTCGGTCGACGCTGTCAAAGGCCTTCTCGAAGTCGATAAAGTTGAGGTAGAGTGTTGACTGCCATTCTATACTCTGTTGTATGATGATGCGTAGTGTAGTGTTGCAATTTGGTCTGCACATGTTTTGTATTTCCTGAAGCCTGCCTGTTTCGGTCGTAGTTTTGAATCCAGTGCATGCTTCAGCCTCTCCAGGATGATGGTTGAGTTATATGAGGGATATTTTTTTTTAATCAGAATTAAAAAGTTAAAATCAAGAATAATTCTCAAAAACCTGTAATCTTGTATGTATATAACATCAGAAAAATACTGAGTTAAGTGTACGTGGAATAACTTCAGTAGCCATTAGAATAAACCGAATACTTAAGGAGGATAGAAGATTATTTATGGACCCTGATATTTTCTACTATAAAACAGCACATAGGAACACTATTTTCTAATCTATATAGGTATTTTATTCTCATGTTTGAATTACAAAACAAGATTTTAATAAATATCTGAACTACAATCAAGATTTAATCATAAAATATTCTAAAGATTTGGTACTCAGTAGACATTTAAATGAAATAATTCCAGTATTTTACAATGTATGTCGATTCAACCTTTTCATTCTTTCCAAGAAGAATGTGAGATTAGAATGAAACAAGAAAGATGGAAACACTTTTTAAAAAAATCCTAAACATGATAAAAATTTACAGTTATAACTTTTGTCTCAAGAAATTAGACACTTTGTTAAGTTCAATATAACTTCTAACAACTACTTTGCTTTATTTTAGAAGGAATAAAGTTTAAACTTAAAATTAGTGAATATCAGTTATGGAGTTCTGATTTATTTTTGAGATTTCAATTCGTAGCATGGATGTCATATCCACAGAACTGCCAGTCAGTCCCAAAGAATGATATCTTCATCAGCCTTCCGTACAAAGGTGATTCTCAGAGTGCAATCCTTAAGCAGAGACAACGCTGCTGTTAGAAGGACTTATTATGCAGCCAGGGTTCGAGTAATCGAAACCACGAAGTCCGTATATTCCCCCAAACCCCTACAGCATGTGGACGATAATGTCACATCCCATTGTATCTACCAATTCAAATGTAGTGTGGTGACACATACATAGATCCATGCAAGCAAGGGCCTCGGAACATATTCCAAAGTGGCTTCAGAAGTAAATTAAATCACCTGAACCTATAAATGTTGGTAGCAGACGTCCAACTTCTTCGATCGCCAAACATATCGTTGAGGCAGGTCACAAGATTGATATGCCTACTTCCTTTAATACCTATTTACAAAACATGTTCGTGAGGGATCCTGAAATTTGTTGAAGCCTTAGCTATTAGGAAGGTGAAACCACATTTATGTGTTCATAAACAATTTGTTGTCACATTAAATCTTCCTTGGTAGATTCAGCTATTGAAAACCAAGTTCGATGTGCGATCATTTTCTTGCTCTATTGATTTTCATTGTTATTCGGCCTTTAAGTCAGCCCTCCTACCTGACCCCTTTTTATTTTCTCACCCCTTATCTTCATGAGTTTTTATATAAATACCTATGACAAGTAGGTGTGTGATCAGATAGTTCGAAATGTGTTGCACAAATACACCATTACACGGTTCAGACAATTTACGTCTTCGTATTGTTTTATCGAAGTTTATAAAGGGAACTAATTGTTTTAAATTTCTTTTTCATGAAATATGCAAGATTCTGAGATAATGTTTTGATGACATCATCATCGTTGCATACCTCAGATTTGATTAAAATCAATTTTATGCCATGATAATACAGAAAAGATCAACTTGATTTATTCAAATAAGATTTGTTGTTTTCTGTGATGAGCTGGTTAGTCTCACAATTGCTTCGTTGGCACTATAATACATAAAATGACTAACCATTTGCTATCTAATAAGGTAATATTATATAGATAAACTTTAAATTAATGTAAATTTACTGGGAGTAACCTAACTAACTAGAAGGAAATGTTGAATGAAATTACTAAATAACCTAGTTATCCAGTGAACTACTTTAAGATCCATTTTTCAAAGAATTACTGAGAAGTTATCATCTTTGAAGGCAAACAAGTCAAGAGTGAGGTTGATATCTATCCATTAATAACATTCGATGGTGGTCGTGTTATACTGCCAGTGTAAAAAGGCAGGGTACAGTGGGTCATTGTACCTCCACCGAAAAATGCATCAGCCATAGACTTACTAACTAAAACACCTGATGGTCTTTTGCTTGGTCCCTCAGACTGTGGGTTACAAACCAAAATGAAATAGGCATTCAGTGCTCTCAGGCTTACAATTGTTTTCTGGCTGGTGAGAACTACTTAAAAAGTAAGTTATTTTTGTTTTTTAAGCGGATTAGGAAATATCATAACTGAAATTCATAACAGTAGGGTGTATTATATGATTATTTATCCCTTGGCTTCCTAGTGGAAAATAGGGCTTCAATAGCAAGTCTCCATTCCACTCTCTTCTCTGCAGTCCTTTGAACCTGCCTCCACGACTGCCCACAACCTTTCGTTTCTTCTTCACATGATCTCCTCCATATCACCCTCATCTCGGATGCCCAACTCGTCGCTTCCCATCTGGGTTCCACTCGAGGGCCCGACCTGGTGCGTGATGTCACCGAATGGTCTTCTCAGTGCATACCCAATAGAACCCATCTCCACTCCCTTCCACTGCATATTTGTTGGCTGATAGGTTGTTGGTTGGTTCGTTACCAGCCAGCCAGCCAGCCAGCCAGCCAGCCAGCCAGCCAGCCAGCCAGCCAGCCAGCCAGCCAGCCAGCCAGCCAGCCAGCCAGCCAGCCAGCCAGCCAGCCAGCCAGCCAGCCAGCCAGCCAGCCAGCCAGCCAGCCAGCCAGCCAGCCAGCCAGCCAGCCAGCCAGCCAGCCAGCCAGCCAGCCAGCCAGCCAGCCAGCCAGCCAGCCAGCCAGCCAGCCAGCCAGCCAGCCAGCCAGCCAGCCAGCCAGCCAGCCAGCCAGCCAGCCAGCCAGCCAGCCAGCCAGCCAGCCAGCCAGCCAGCCAGCCAGCCAGCCAGCCAGCCAGCCAGCCAGCCAGCCAGCCAGCCAGCCAGCCAGCCAGCCAGCCAGCCAGCCAGCCAGCCAGCCAGCCAGCCAGCCAGCCAGCCAGCCAGCCAGCCAGCCAGACTTCCTTGTTGCTTATTCTTATTATTCTGGCAATCCATCTGATCTTCAGTAGTGAGTGTAGGCAGTTGTTGATGAATGTCTGTAGTTTGTTGGAGATGCTTTTCGCAACGCGGCAAGTCTCTCAACAATCACATAGAAGCACTGATTTGACGTTGGTGTTGAAAATCCGGATGTTGTTCACGCTTCATGCTGAGTGGAGTGGAGTAGATCTTCACACTGATTTCAGAAAAATGAAGGCTATCCTACTATCTTTCTGGTCCTGCTTTTGACATCTTCATCTGTGCAGCCGCCTGTGGTCGCTACCTAGGTAGGTGAACGAGACAACTTCTTTTAGGTTTCTCCCACTGATGGCGATTGGCGTTTGTTGTTGTTGTTTGAATGGGTATCCTCACCACCTATTTCTTCTCTACGTTCACTTGAAGTCCAGTTCTAGCTGCCTTGCCTTTTCTGTCAACTTATTAGTTTTTGCCTGTAGGTGCGTAGCCTAGCATTGTATGATTGTGACTTTCCTTAATTTTGAGTTCAATCCATCTTGCTGTCATGATCCTGCAGGCGGAGATTGGTTCCCACTGCATGAGAACCTCCAGTGCTCTTAGGGGCATCATGATAGCCACTCAAAAACTCAGTGTGCTCTTGGTTATCGTCTGGGTGACCGGAGTACATTATTGACTCTGCAGTTGACAGTTTGAAGAGTCCACTTACATTTCATCTGCAGATTCCCAGGAGATTCCAAGCACTTCAATGCCATACCTCCTCATCTCTTTTGCAATCTGGGCAGGCTTTGTAAGTTCATACATGGTGTGGACATTCTATGTCTCCATGCTTACTTTCGCTTTCATCAAGAGAAGACACATCGGCCGACTGGCCTTCTGAAAGCTTTCGCCAACTGGGGTCATTTCGCCTCTCCAATTCCAGCGAGGAATAAGTTTATTTTTATTTTTTGTATTTTCTTTGTTCTTTGAAGTTTCTTAAGGGATTGGTTGGCTTTTCGGGGTAGGGTTGCTAGCTGTAGGCCTAACTTTCTCTCTTTATCCGCTCTTAGGACCGGCTAGTAACTGGTGAAGTAGTTAATTAGGTGAGGTTGGCAGTATAGTGTAACTTCATGATTTCGTGTACAGTTTATAACCTATAACTGAATAAATTACATCTATACATCCAGTAATTGTTATCAGAAATAGAAGTTTGAGAGAAAGGTTATCAAAGGATACTTTTGACGAAATAATAGTGATAGTGTATTGAATTTTGAGGTGTATAGGGGTTTGGTTTATTGATTCCAGGTTGGTATTCATTGGTGACTAGCTACAAGAGGTGATTCCTAAAGTTTTAATGAGAAGCAGGTATAACAAGTCAGACTTAGGGACAGCTACTCAACGTCGGCAATGTATGAAGTGAGACACTAGATTTCGACCCAACATCTCAATGGTAATGGGGCTGATCGCGGAACCTGAAGGTTCTGGGCTCGATCTCTGGTGGGATCATTTGTGCACACTGCTGTGGAGTTCCATATTACGACGAAACAGCTGTCCAATGCTCTCGGGTTTCCAATGTTTCTCCAACTAATTTCAGTCTATAATGAATACCAACCTGAAATCAATAACACTATGTGATTGCTCCATCTGAGTTAGGTGAACATTTTATGGATTATAATCTAAGTAGTAATTAGAATCTGTTGCTGCAGAAGGTGACATTCAGACTCTTGAGTCATCAGAGCCGTAAATCATGTTCTATATTCACGTCTGACTGGAGCGGTCCTTTAATCAGATTTAGACACACATTTGTATTTATTCAGAAGGTGACGTGATGTGACTCAGTGAATGAATTACCCAAAGACGAAGAACAAAATCTATACAGAGTTCTAGTAGATCAGCCAATGGATTGTTACACAAAAACGTAATACTAATACAGTTAGATCTTTAGAAGAAAGAAAGCTAGAAAAATGCTATCTGACAACATAGGTATGAAAATACAAAGATATCTGAATTAACAGCCTAAGGTTATAAAAGCTCGTAAATAAAATGTACATGAATTTGCTATACAGTTAGGATAATACTATAGAAGTACTGTCTAATCATCTAATTTTAGGTTTACAGACAATTTTCTGTTCTCCAGTTCTGAAGATAAATTTTACAAGTCGAAACACTTTTTTTTTTATTATCACCGGGATTAGTATTCACTGTGCTTGAATCAGTATGCACATAAAGATTTAATTTATTTTTTTTTTAAATTTTGGAGCAAAACTCATTTGATCATAGAAAAAGAGAGAAAAAGTTTATAGTGAAGAGTGATCAACTCTTAATTATGATCCCTGTAAAGTTATTCCCTTAAGGTAAACTAACAGAACATTTCGTAACCTTCTTACAGGTTTTACCTTAATGAATTTAGAAATATTCAAAACTTGTATGTAAGCAAATCTAGATGAGGCGAACGACAATATGAACGTAAATTTTAGTGTTTATAATTGTCTATTATGTCATAAACACACCGTGTTCATCTTCATCCTCTTCAATATACAAAAGTAATAGAAACTTAGCTTATAAAACCTGAACTGTATCAATAAATGATGATTTACATAAGAGTAACGCTTTCGGTTCTATTTGTTTCCGCTTACTTAATAATTGTCCTAATTATTTGTTATTGCTCTAATACTTCCTTCTCATCGTCAGCTAAGTTGATTTCATATCTATGAATATCAGTATACCCATTTGTTATGAACCATCCAATTTATACTCTACTGTACACCACTACTGTTTACTTCAGTCAATAAATGTATGTTGATTTCAATTGTTAAATCACTTACTACACTTTATTACTTGACTTTCATAAGTTCCTTCTAACTGCATCATGTTTTTAGAATCCATTGAAACTAGTTGTGGTGGCTGTTTTTGATCTTGATAATGCTCTTTAGAATGGACTTTTGCAGGAGCGTTCTTCTTCTCAATTACTTTCAAATTATTCTTTGTTTCTTCTTCCTCTTCTTCATCATTATCATCATCAACAGAATCAGATTCTGTCATCTGTGTATAGTACTCATAACTATTTTCAGTAGTATCACAGATAATTTCTTTATTTTTCAAATCAAACTTTACATCTTTTCTATTATACGATGCTGATGTTAAACATGATGCATTCCTGTCTTTCTTAAGTCCATGAAGATGATAATTTAGGCGATGTAGTGCATTTTTAAGTAAATGATCAAGTTCTAAACTGTCACGTGTCTTCCGACCAAGAGAAGTTCGTACAACTGATTGTGAATAGTTTTGATGGATTTCAGTACACACTATATGCTTATTGTTACTGTTACTGCTATATTCGTTCAGATCAGGTGTTGTAATTTTGTCTGAGGATATATTATCATACATATATTCTTTTTCCTTATACACTTTTGGGAGCTCTAAACAATAGTCATTGTTGTAAGGAAGTTTATTAAGAATATTTATTGATTTACTATTCATGACACCTTCTTTAATATCAATAGTATTTGCATTTAATCTGTCCACTGTTTTGTGTTTGTCTCTGGGTTCATGGTCGTCCACATCAATTCCTGTTGAACTTTCCGATGTTTTATCTTGTCCAGTTTCACTGAAAGAATCATCATCAACAACATCATTATCACTATCATCAGCAATCGAATTATCATATGATCCAGTTGAAGGCTCTGAATCAATTTGATAAATGTCTTCTTCTAAAACTTGAGAAAAATTTGATTGGTTGCCGTATAATTTATTCGGTAGTTTGTATTCATTACTTCGACCATTGACAAAGTAGGTTCTCATTTTACCTTTACCCTTTAATCAAAGAAATAAACAACAAATAATTACACAGAGAGAAGATATGTGTTAATGAAACAAGCATCAAACAAATGCGGTTCTTCAAGGATTCAGTACTGAAAGTTACGGATTTTCTTTCATTTTCATTTAGAAAACAATTCACAAATTTATCAAAACAAGACAGTTTTTAACATATAGTTTTTTACAAATAAATGGCAGAATAAATGCTGAGTACTTTTAGTTAACCAAGTCAACTATTTAATCAGAGAAACAATACAACTGTTTACTCGATCAAGGAAGTATTCATTGGTGTCAAACTAGGTGAATTAACACTGGGTTTTCGGTTGACTTGTTGATCTAAACTATCTTTTACACGTAGGCTACCTAAATGCTAATGAGATACAGTAATTAACAAAATATTTTATCCAGTTAACTTTATCATAGTAGAAAACACTAAATAAATGAGTGGATCATACCGAACTGAATTTATCAACTCGCATGTGTATAGACGTATACACAAGGAGAAATAATGGTGGTTTGAAGTTGAAAATGGTTAAACATGTACCTTATCGACTTCAAAAACAAATGACTGTGACTAGTCTAGTATATATAGGTGACGGACATCCATCTTCATTTACTGCCTAACCAACACTTAAAAACTAGATTGAGATTTGACGTTAAAATAGACTTTGGTTTTTGTATAATAGTGCCTGAATTACCCAAACTAGATGCGTCGGTTAGTTGAAATCCTTTTTATGTATGGATAAAAGACTTGTTCTTCACTGAAAAGCTACTCTGATAGTCTTGGTTCTACTTCTCATACCCAGTAGGAGATAATTCGAATTTTATGCATATACACTTTAGTCTTACCACCTCAAACCTTTTCCAGCCTAAACCTACTTCAGTTAAAATGTGCGATATGGCAGACAGTGACTAAAGATGCGTGAAATATATCTCAGCTATGTGAATCGGTAGAAATTCACAACCTCATTAGCTGAATTTCCTCTTCAGCTCAAAATTCTACGCCTGACTTGTAAGTTACTGACTTAGTGACATCATGACATAAAGTTTGTGGTACGAAGATGGCCTCAATTAAACACCTGAAGCTTTTTCATGTCCTCTGGCTTTAATATTTATGTCGCTTCACTTGTTCTACAAGTTCACCCCTAACATAATCATTTCAGTTTTTAGTTTGGAGGTTTGTGCAGATTCATCTATTGATTTCAGGTTAATATTCATCATGAAAGGACGTCAGCTGAGGAACCATTTATAAAACTGGGGAAACTGGACAACTGTTTTATCTTAGTATGGGACTACCCAGCAGTGTGCACCCATGACCCAGCTAGAGATCAAACTCAGGACTTTCAGGTTCCGTGGCCAGCACGTTATCGTCGAAACACTGGGTCGGAATCCAGTGGTTCACATTTCCTACTCCTGTCATTTAACGATACAATGCGACTTCCACCTAATGCCATCGCTGAGTAATTGTGTTCATGTCAAACTTAATGTCCCACAGTTCTGCAACTGATATCAGTCAGTGGTGAATACTAACCTGAAATCAATAAATAAGTCTCCAAAAAACCTTCAAACTGAATTACTTAAGTGCTCATTAGTGTCTTGTTTCGAGATGAGATTCTCAAAATTATAATGAGAAGTCGTCACCAATGGGGCCAATGAAGTTGGATGTGAGGACAGTTACTTGACGATGACACTAGATGAAGGTCGCGCTATTTCACTTTTACTAATATGCGTCAGCAATGTATTAGAGCTCACAAATATTTCTAGTTGAATTTTGCTAATCTTTTACAGCTTTCCTTAGGAAATAAAGAGCAGAAAAAAAATGCTGTTCTGATCTCTATGTCCCCCAAAGCGTTGAACTTCTTCAGTCCCAGTGATATTTCTCTAACACTTCATCAAAATTTACTCCATGTACACTCAAAAAGCTTTGAACGAATCAATTGAAGTAAATCCATCTAGCCAAGTATTTTTTATCCAGTTTCTTTTTATTCTACATGCTGATTATTAATTTTAATTGAGAAGATATACGCGTAGAGACAGTGATGCCACAATAAAACAAACTATCAGTCATCACTTATGTTGTAAGCAAAAGTCATCAATGTATTTAGGGAGAATTTCTCCTGACTCGATTCTCAACAATTGTGTGGATAATGATATCAATGAATGATAGAAAGAAAAGTCACCAGGGTACAATCCTGCCAAAACGATTTTGCTAACCTAATGATTTTCTCAACCATCTCAAGAAAGAAAGAATCAAATCTCTAATATTCTTTTAACCACTACCTTGACTACTTTATTCAGTCCCGTACTTGTACGAATGTTAGTTTGTGCGAAAAATAGAGGTCATCGCTCCCTTAACCAACTACTGAAATGTATATCTTTAAAATTCAGCCGATAGGTTTATTACGTTCTAAATACCGAGTGTTGATAGAATTCTGTTAACCGAGTTTTTGATATAGCCATTAAGCTAGATGACATAGATTGGTGTAGACTTTGTCTAGTATACACCGCTATGAGTCGATTAACAAGAACTTCTGTATCCAAACTCTATCCCTCTTTATATCCATCAGTTAAGCGTATTTGTAAACCTAGTCATTTGGGCCAGGACCGAACCTTTTTGAAGTCAGGGATTTGATCGCTGAACTGATCTAAATAGACTGATGGTGAAGTTTTGAACTAAGCACTATTAAATACAAAATCTAGAACTAAGGCTTCCAATTATTTAGTTTCGAAATTCTAATTATTACTATGAGTGAATGTCTGTGATTTACAATAAGTGAGTGATCGTCTTCGTACAATATTAGTGTATTCTGATATTACATACAGTGATTCAGTGTTATTTACTGGATGACATTTCAAGCATTGTATTGTTGAAAATCATAAGAAGTTATTCACACAGCTTTCCTCTTTGTTCTTTTATTTAGTGTTAACTCTGCCTTTCAAGTGTCTAAAACGGGTGATGATTGGATCCAGCTACACAAATTAGACATGGATTAGAAGTTGTTATCTTCTTCCAAACTATATTGGGATTACGAAACAGCATATACCTAGCAATAATGAGGTTCTTCTTGAAATTGCTCACCTTGGTAAGTGTTAAGATGAGTGAATAGTAGATTGACTTCTTTGGTATTGATGTCACTTGAAGAATCATAGGAAGTCTAGGATTACTAGACTATTGCTTCGTCTTATCTTGGAGTGCCTCGACAGTGAAGCACCGCCAGTCTTGCAGTGAGAACATTACTATCCATCTAAGGGATTTAAATCCAATAATCCATGTTTTCCTACTTCTGTCAATGCGCGATAAATAAATGTATGTCTGCACATATCATTCTTACCTAAAACGAAACAACTGTCCATTCCTCCAAGGTTTTCAGTTGTTTATGTCAGTCTGTGAAGAAAAGTATCTTGAAGTCAAAGAATCACCACAAGTTACAGATTTTAATCGAAATTTGGTCAACTGTAAAGTATCCTGTCAAAAATGTGGTTACTATTACTTTGTAAAATTCTAACTAGATGAAATAATTTGAGTTTACAAAATGTATTTTCTTTTTTAGGTTGGAATTCATCACGGATTGACATCAGTTGGAGAAACATTGGAAATCTGAGAGCACTGGACAGCTGTTTCGTGCTATCATGGGACTTCTCAGCAGTGCGCACCCATGACCTTGCCAGGTTTCGTGACCAGCACATTACCACTGAGGGGAACCTGAAGACCCTGAGTTCGATCTCCGGCGGGATGCGAACTGCTGAGGAGTCCCGTAATGGGACGAAACAGTGGTTCAGTGGTCCCAGGTTTTGAATGTTCCTCCAACTGATGTCAATCCACGATGAATTCCAACCTAAAAAAGTAATTGATAAGTCTTCATAAAACATTTAGACAGAAATATATTTTCGTCAAAATCTCCTGCTTATTTAAACACAACTCTTCTGTACATAGCTATACATCCTTAAATTCTTCCAAAATGATGAAGGGGAGTATTCTTGTCAAGATCCTGTAGTATATAACTCAAAAATATACACAAAGTAATAATTTACCTTCACGCTAATTTCGCCACGGAATTCTAAAATGTATGGAAATTCCGAAAGACTAGCAGCAAACGTTTGACTGACATGTATACGATCAGGCTAAAATGATTTTGAAAAATACCGTTATTAGGGCAGATAAATATCAGTTTTTGTAATGATATTAATTGCATCGTTTTCTTACATTTTAATCAACTTTACGTGTATGTATCATAAGCATGCAGTCATATTGAGGGCTTAACAAAAGCATTCCAGTTACTCTTTGAATAATACCGCTGATCAGAAATGATGCACTTTAATTAACAAATTTTACTAAATGATGAGTAGTTATACCTCTTGCTCAGCTGGGAAATAATCTGAACTACGTATTTACAAATTCCGCTTACAGATTCAAACTACTTGAATCTGATCAGCTGATGAAATCACCAAGATTCAATCAGAGAAAATTATTGATCAATGTAGATAGTTTAGATGAACTCCTATCTTTTAACAGTTTACTTCTTTAGTCCATGTCAAATTCTTTCCTATGATCAATAGTCATAGTTTTGGTTGTGAAACACTTTTGATACCACAGTTAAGGTGATGTAAAGCTATTTTTGTTTAAGTTATCTTAGTAGAATCATGCCGATAATTTGAAAATCATTCATAATCGCAATCTCTTGAACGTGACTTTCAAATGCATAAGTATAATCACTCAGTTCAAGAAAAACAGAACAATGTTTAGGTGTAACTACGCCGTGATTTAAAATTGCATAATAAACTGGGAAATTTCTCGTTGGTTAGTTATTCAAGCACAACTTGAATTGTTTCAAGAGATTGAACCACAGGCAAAATGAGCATAGCATCTGTGCAGAGATTGTTATAGATACTGACAGTCTGGCTGTCTCATCAGCAGTTCACTAGATATTACCGCTGCCATACTGAGTAAAAAGATGATTAAAAATGTAGCTTAAAAGGTAAATACATGTTCAGTCTCACGTTCATAACCTTTAGGTCTTCTATGTTAGTACAAATAAGTTTTGGATTCTGGCATTCTAGATTCTAACATCAGTGAAAAGTAAACCAAAATAGTGAGTCTCCTAAGTAAGTGGATACACTGGAGAAGGATAAATAGAATGAGGTAAGCACGAAGAAATAGACAAAGTGTAATTGGTTGTTCTCCGGTGACTAATCAAAGTCTACAAATGCAAAAATCAACTGCACAGATTATCAAATGTTCTGTCTGTTCAATATATTCAGTTATATGAGACTAGTAACTGAAACTACTGCCTGAAGTTAAGGCAAGTACCTCAAAAGCTGGGTGCACATGATAATGATAAGAAATCGAAACATTAAAAATCCCTACCCTTCTCTTTTTTTGAAGTAGCGCAAGCAAGAAAGTACTCTTGCCTTCACTGAAAAAAACCCAAAAAAACTTCCATTAGTGTTGAATTGGGGGACTTAATCACTGAGTATTTTAAGCCACAACTGAGCCCATTTGAGCTGGATTACATACATGAACTGGTTATCAAATATTTACTGATCTATGCGTTAGATTACGAGTGCTGATCTAAGTTCAGACATACTAAGCTAAGTTGAAAAACAATAAAATATTCTACTTTTGGGAAATAAACTCACCATACCATAGGACATCATTCTACTGGCTGTATTGACTGTATCTCCGAATAAGCAATATCTTGGTGCTTTATGACCTACTATACCGGCTACAATTGGTCCAGTATGACATCCAATAAAAAGTCTCAACTTCTCTTCCTCTTCATCATCATCATCATTATTATTATTGTCATCGTCGTCATCATTTGTATGCTTGTTAGGCTTTGGCCATGACAGAGATTCATTAGTTACTTTTAATATATTCAATGCCATTTCAGCTATATGTGCTGAATGGAAGCGTGTTTTATGCGGTGCTCCAGAAACAAGCATATAGCTATCTCCTATGGTTTCAACCTAAAATTTAGAAGTAAATGAAAAAAAGTAAGATGTTTGACATCCTTAACAAAGCCTCTTAAGTTATGCAATTCCATTTTTTTTTTGAGAAATTAGTATATGGAAAGAGAAAATATTTCGTAGTCAAAAATAACTGTTTCATTTAAGTGTTAGGAGAACATTTTTCGATCTCATACCATTTCTTTAGGGGTTTAGATGAACCTTTGACTTTAAAAGCTGACTTAGAAGATGAAGGATTGACATCAGTTAGTGAACGTCTGAAAATCAGACACTCCAGGATAGATATTCCCCCTAGTTTGAGAGAATTAGGCAGTGCTCACCCACAGCTTCACATAGGGTTAAGCCCTGAACAGTCAAGTTTAGCAGGAAGCTCGGTACCATTCAGCCACCTCATTTAATTGGTTCACTGTGTGTTTATCATTCGTCTTATCGATGAACATGCATCACTGAATTCAACTTCTTCGACTACACATAAGTTAGTTTCTCATTAGAACTTCAAGAAATCTTTTTCCAAGTTATTTTATGATAAGAAAATGGTTGAGTCGCTAAGCACTCAAAAACAACATTGGGATTCATTCGTTAGACAGTGAGTCATAGTATGTGATCAGTTTGCAAACTGGATAGCCCACGTTGACATTTCTCACAACTTAGTAGTTCTTCAACTGCCTAATTATGGTATCACTAGGTTTCGTTGGAAACCCCTCAGCCAAGATCCCAACGTGTGATCTCTGATGCAAAAGTATTATGAACTAGCGAAAAATACTACTGGTGAAGAATTTGAGTGGTCAGAAATCATTTAGACTTACCTGTATATTTCGCCAGCCAGATCAGAGAAACCTAAACAAAGGACGGTCGTTTCACTTGTTCGGAACCGAACTCGTCAGTGGTCTACTCAAACAAATTCAGTTCATAGGTATGAACTAGTTCAGACCAGCTGAATCTGTCTAGTATTACTCTGATTACTCTGATCTGGTTGTGAAGATAAACAGATTACTCTCAGTTGTTTCTGACTACTCAAGTTGTTCATCAGTAGTATCCTTCATTAGTTCATAATACTTTTGTATCAGAGATCACACATTGTGATCTTGGTTCGGTATTTTCAAACAAAACCATTGTTGATACTACAGTTAAATGATTGAAGAACTATTCAGTTGTGAGAAATGTCAACGTGGACATTATAATTTGGAAATCATTTGCAAACAGATCATTCGATCTAGTTCATTGGCTGATTCACAAATTTAAATGGTGTTCTTGAGTGAGTAGCGATCCAACCCTTTGATTATCCTAAACTAACAATGTATTTACCCATTTAGATAAAAGCTTTGAGTAATCACTCAACTGTCAGTATTTAACCGTTTTTGAAGATGTATTTCTTTTCTCTTCTTTTTTCAGTATCAACCTGAAGAGAAAATCCTAAGCATTGATTTAATCAAAAAGTATTAACTTACTGAAAATCCTACTTCATACATAATATTGGAAGCTGAATTATTCAACTGGCTTGCTCTGATTTCCTGTTTCTTTAACAGCTTCACAATCAACTTACCTGCCTACTAGTCTACTCTAAATGCTACCACATACGAAACCTCAAGCACAATAACTGGTCTCCGATTTCTGGTCCGTCACAGATGCAGCGGAAATCTGGATGAACAACTAAATCTGAGAGATCACTCTATCTCAAGGCAATATATCCACAATAATACTATGCAATAGATTTTTCTGGTACCTTATCTTTTATGAATCCATCTAATAGAAGTCAATTAACAGTCAATGTATCTCCTTGACAATGCTGCATACTTCGATGTGAAATGTATGAAGTTTTACAAATGTGTAAAATCTACTACTGTTGAACAACGATTCTACCAGTCTTCGACTACTTGCACCACAACAAATGCTTCTAGAATTATAGGTCTGAAATACTGGAAAGATAACACACGAAGAGTGAGAAATGCTTGAACCTAGATAGTCAACTGGATTAAATGTCTGTTTGAAAACTTACTTATTCCTGAAATCATTGAAGTGAGTTATTCTTGGTCAGTAAAGCTTCGAACATAAATTTTGCTGTTAAAATAGACGTTTTAGTCTGACGAAAAATTGGGTTTTGCAGACTGGTCAATCATGTCGACTACTCATAACGCAAACACTGAACATTTAGCCAAGTCGGTGCCACTTTAGTGTGAAAAAAGAATTGTGAGTAAGAATGAACGATGTGTATGTATTGTAAAGTGGTATTTTCCTGCTCTTTCATAACTTCTAGACACATGATATCATGATGGAGTTTAATGTCCCTTCTTCTGTAGCATTCAACACTGCTCAAATCGTTTAGGTGTGTCTAGAATTATCAATTTGATGATGCCTGTAAACCGGCTTCTCTCATGTTAAATTCATAACCTGAGAGTAAAACATTTATTTATTTATATTCTACTCAATCATGTCTCAAGTAAATTGCTAAAACTGTTACACAGTTTGATATTATTGACTGATAGTGGCTAGCAGTGGGATCTATGACGCACGCTTCGTCCTGTTTGAGACTCGTCAGTCGGATGTACTTGCCTCCTAGTGGTGTTCCTGATGGGACTCGAATTCGGGACCGATCACTTCAAACGCTACAGCATTATCTATCAGAATAGAATTATTCATCACTCAAAGTATTAGGATTACCTTTGCAGTCAAACATGCATTGACGGTTATGGATTCTACGGTTGTTATGAAGATGCTTTTCACTGAGTAAAATCAGTTAACTCTGGGTTCTTCAACAGTGAACACATAAAATATTCTGAATTCAAATAGATTACCTATTTGTCACGATGTATCAGAATGCAGTCATGAGTATTTTTTAACATTAATAAAATAGGACGAAATGAGCATCCTGGATTCCACTGCTAGCCACTGCCCATCATTACTATTAAATTTATTGATTAAAAAAAATTCGTCTTTGGTCATTGAATGTGCCGCTTAACACTAATTTGTTCAAGAAATTTAAACGTCCCGACTCTCTTTACTGATTTAATTGGCGTACGTATTGAAGAAACTTGGCTACAACTCAATGAAAATGCTCCTTAGTGTTTAGATTACTTCTGTCTGACTGGTCAGTGTTGTGAATTGGTACCAGTGGTCCACAACTAACAACATACTGAGTGTGATCTTATAGAATTCTTAAACACTAAGTTTCATCAAGAGTATTTTACCTAAAGTGTATTGACTCATATTGGAATGATTTCTTTCTTCTCCTTCAATTTTGATTGTAAAAGGTCACGGAATACATTTGCATCAACAAGTTTTGGTGATATACGCTTCTACATACACCTGAACATTCACAATATATTACTATTTTCATTTATCCCTTGGGTTCCTAGTCAAACATAGGGATTCACTAGCACGTCTACATTGCAATCTCTTCTCTGAAATCGTTTCAACCTGGCTACACAACAACCCACAAGCTCTCATTTCCTCCTCACACCATCTACTCCATGTCACCCTCACCTCGAACGCCAAACTCGTCGCTTCCCATCTGCGTTCCACTCCAGTGCCTGGCTGGCCTGACGCGTGATGTCACCAGTCGGCTGTCTCAGTGTATGCCGAATACAACCCATCTCCACTTTCTTCTGCATATTTATCGAGCCATAGCTTCTTGGTTGGTTCGTTACCAGCCAGAGAGAGTTCCTTGTTGATTATTCTCTCTGGCAATCCATCTGATCTTCAGCAACGAGCCAGCGTAGGTGGCAGTTGTTGACGAATGTCTGTAGTTTGTTGGAAATCCCTTTCGTAACGCACCAAGTCTCTCAGCCATACAGAAGCACTGACTGACTGAGTTGGTGTTGAAAATCCGAATCTTGTTCACGCTTTATGGTGAGTGCAGTGCAGTGCAGAAGGTGTCCACACTGGTTTCAGGTTAACGAACACCTGTCTTGCAGTATTTCCGATTCTGGCTGGCTTTGACGTCCTCGGTTCCGCCACCACCGCCTGTAGTTGAAACGGTGCTTCCTAGTTAGGTGAAAGAGGCTACTTCCTTCAAGTTTCTCCTTCGATGATGATTGGAGTTTGTTGTTGTTGTTGCTTGGGTATCTTCATCACCTGTGTCTTCTCTACGTTCACTTGAAGTCACATCTCCGCTACCTCACCCTGCCTCTTCTGTCAACTTGTTAGTTTTCACCTGTAGATCTTCGAGTTTGTGTGACATCAGACACAAGTCATTGGTGGTGAAACCCAAGTCTTCTAGGTTCTTGTCCCCAGTCCAGCTAGTGTATCCCCCTCTTCTCACAGCTCCCCACTGTTTGTTGCTTCATCCAGTCGAGTCGACCACAATCAGGAATATCATGGGTGATAGTAGGTGACTGCCTTGTTTCACTCCTGTCTTCATTTGGAAGACATCATCGAGCTTTCCATTGTGAATTACTTGACATGTGTCGTCATTATATGGTAGTTGAATGATATTGATGAAGGTTTGTGGTATTGCGAAGTGTTGAAGCAACTGCCTGTCAAATTACTTGTCGGTCGACTCTGTCAAAGGCCTTTTCAAACTAGGCCTTTTCACACTGTAGTCGATAAAATTTCTGTTGGTGGCCAGGTTCCATGCTTGAATATTGTTTTCAGTATAGATCAGAAGCTTCTCATATGAAGATAAGAAATCTCCAATATATAGCTCGTTTTCATATTCTTATTTTCATCAGCTTATAATTGCTTATAGAAAATAATGCTTATTTCATCGGCCATTTATATCTAGTGTTGAAAACTTTGGTAGAATGCTTCTGTAAAAAACTAGTGTCATGAGTGATTCTGTGGCTTCTATTTTCAAATCATTGGATAAAACTGAATTAATTAACCATTAATAACATGTATGCTGATGTTAGCATGCCTTGACATTAAATAGATAGGGGCTGGCAGTAGAAACCAGTATATGTGTTCATGTAAATTTCAACGTATTACTTGAATGTACCTCCCGTTAATGAGCGATATTATTCCGATTGTAATTCGATCCTATTACACATAGCTTCATGCACTAAGAGTGGCTATCATAACTTAGCAGTCTAGCGGAGGACGCTTAGATGTTTGAGACAAAAAATACTGGAATAGAATGATTAATTGTAAATTATTTCCAAATTGTAATGTCCACGTTGACATTTCTCACAACTGAATAGTTCTTCAATCGTTTAACTGTAGTATCAACAAGGTTTTGTTGGAAAATACCGAACCAAGATCACAATGTGTGATCTCTGATACAAAAGTATTATGAACTAATGAACAACTTGAGTAGTTAGAAAACACTCGATTTGTTCAGTAGTAGTACATTTCAAGAAGTGCTCAGTTTATTACTATTGAATATTTCGGTAATCGGTAGCCTTGAACTGTTTCTGTGCTAATGTCTGTTTTCAATTTTCTAATCATTCCTTCTTGAGTTTTGATTGGATAACATTAGACACTTACTCCTTTCCAGTACATTATTTATTCAGAAGCGTAAGTTACATTTTTTGTGTACAAGTTTAAAGCAATTCTGAAAGCTGAAATTAGAAGTCACTTAATGACGTACGACGTTGGTATGTTCTTCATTCGCTGCTGTTTACGATAACTGAAGCCGGACAATGAGACTGTGTACTCATAATACTTCTGCATTATTTTGATAAATGCACCAGTTTAATCTACATCGTGATCTGATGCAGACATTATTTTCTGTCAGTGTTAGACAGTTCGAAGAGCATACCTTAAAGATAGGCTTCATACGTGGGAATTAGTAAGTGTTTTCAGATAAGGTTGCAAAAAATAGACATAAATTGATTACACGTCAATTCTAAATGAACAGATTACTATGACGCTTATCAGTAGTTAAATTTTATTCCGTAAGAAAAGTAATAAATCCTTATGTATTAACTGCTTTTACTCACTTTGTAAACATTACAGGTTTCCGTGAGGTCATCGAAAAGTGTGTACATCTTATTCAGCAGTTCAACAACTTGATTAACACTTATATGCATACATTTTGCACTGAAATTGAACACTTTTGTGAAGCATATACTTACAGCATCGTAAGCCTGAAATGTATTGAAAATTGAAACAATAAGTGAGAGGAAGTAGCTAAATGGAAATCTACATTTTAAGTGATTGATCAATGGGTTAGAACTTTTTCAGCTTCAGATTCTGCTTTATGCTGCTGGGCAGTCAGAATAAATCTCACTGGACAGTTTCGCACTTCAGAGAGCCAATCAGGATAAGTCGTCTAACCTTATGCTTATCCATATGTATGCAGTGTTTTTTGTCGAACTAAGTCATCCTTGCAGTTATAGGTTAGTCTTTATCTATGGCATTCGGAATCGTAGTAAACAAACGTAACCGTATCCAGGTGTCGTACTAGATTCAGCATAATTAATCTATTAGTGTCTTATTTCATGCTGTCATCGCACTAATAATATTAGTAATAAAAATAGCAATAATAATAATGAAAATAACAATAATAAAGACACAGAGTTTAGTACTTCTGGCAGGGTGATTATCATTATTATTTTTCTCGTTTGGCCTTTGGGTTCCTAGTCAAACATAGGGATTTACTAGCACGTCTACATTCCAATCTCTTCTCTGCTAACTTATGAACCTGGCTCCATGACAGCCAACAAGCTCTCATTTCCTCCTCACACGATCTCCTCAAGGTCACCCTCACCTCAAACGCCAAATTCCTCGCTGGCCATCTGTGCTCCACTCGGTACCGTCACTTGGTGCGTGATGTCCCCGAATGATCTCAGTGTATCGCCAATCCAATCCATCGCCACTGTCTTCTGCATATTTATTGAGCGATAGCTTCTTGGTTGGTTCGTTAACAGCCAGCCAGCCAGCCAGCCAGCCAGCCAGCCAGCCAGCCAGCCAGCCAGCCAGCCAGCCAGCCAGCCAGCCAGCCAGCCAGCCAGCCAGCCAGCCAGCCAGCCAGCCAGCCAGCCAGCCAGCCAGCCAGCCAGCCAGCCAGCCAGCCAGCCAGCCAGCCAGCCAGCCAGCCAGCCAGCCAGCCAGCCAGCCAGCCAGCCAGCCAGCCAGCCAGCCAGCCAGCCAGCCAGCCAGACTTCCTTGTTGATTATTCTCTCTGGCAATCCATCTGATCTTCAGCAACGAGCCAGCGTAGGTGGCAGTTGTTGATGAATGTCTGTAGTCTGTTGGAAATCCCGTTCGTAACGCACCAAGTCTCTGAACCATACAGAAGCACTGACTGACTGAGTTGGTGTTGAAAATCCGAATCTTGTTCACGCTTCATGCTGAGTGCAGTGCAGAAGATCTCCACACTGGTTTCAGGTTAATGAACACCTGTCTTGCTGTATTTTCGATCCTGGCTGCTTTGACGTCCTCGGTTCCGCCACCACCGCCTGTAGTTGAAACGGTGCTGCCTAGATAGGTGAAAGAGGCTACTTCCTTCAAGTTTCTCCCTTCGATGATGATTGGAGTTTGTTGTTGTTGTTGCTTGGGTATCTTCATCACCTGTGTCTTCTCTACGTTCACTTGAAGTCACATCTCCGCTACCTCACCCTGCCTCTTCTGTCAACTTGTTAGTTTTCACCTGTAGATCTTCGAGTTTGTGTGACATCAGACACAAGTCATTGGTGGTGAAACCCAAGTCTTCTAGGTTCTTGTCCCCAGTCCAGCTAGTGTATCCCCCTCTTCTCACAGCTCCCCACTGTTTGTTGCTTCATCCAGTCGAGTCGACCACAATCAGGAATATCATGGGTGATAGTAGGTGACTGCCTTGTTTCACTCCTGTCTTCATTTGGAAGACGTCGTCGAGCTTTTCACTGTGAATTACTTGACATGTGTTGTCATTATATGGTAGTTGAATGATATTGATGAAGGTTTGTGGTATTGCGAAGTGTTGAAGCAACTGCCTGTCAAATTACTTGTCGGTCGACTCTGTCAAAAGCCTTTTCAAAGTCGATGAAGTTGAGGTAGAGTGTTGACTGTCATTCTATTCTCTGTTGTATGATGATGCGAAGCGTAGCGTTGCAATTTTTTCCGCACATGTTTTGTACTTCCTGAAGCTAGCCTGCCTGTTCCTGTCGTAGTTTTGAATCCAGTGCATCCGTTAGCCTCTCCAGGATGATGCGACCTAATATTTTGATTGAGAAGGACAGGAGCGTGATTCCGTGCCCGTTCTAACAAAGGCTTAGATCGCTCTTCTTCGGGAGTTTGACAAGGTAAGCCTTCTTACAACCTGCAGGCACCTTCCCTTCCTTTCAGACCCTTTGCATTAGTGGTGTGGTGTGATCATGTCCACTGTTGTCTCTGCGTCTGCTCTCAGTGATTGTGAAGGGGTTCCATCTGGTCCTGCTGATTTCCCGAATTTCAGTAGATTTATGGCGTTCACGACTTCCAATTTTGTTGGAGTATTTATGTTCACATGTAGTTCTGTGGCTGCAGGTGATATTTCTGGACGAAGTGCAGGTGGTGGTGGTGGTGGTCGATTCAAGAGCTTCTTGAAGTGGTCGGCCCATCGTTTCCTTTGTTTCTCCTCTTTGCCAACTAAGTTTCCTTCACCGTCTTTCATTGGTTTCATCTACGTCGATCTCTTCCCAGATAGCAATCTGCTTATCTGACATAATGTTGATATAATGTTGTCAGGTCTCTCGAAATGCAGCCTGTTCTGCTTCACTCGCCAGTGTGTCCTAGAAGTGTCTTTTGTCTTGGCGTCCACTCTCCTTCACTTCTTTGTCCAGTGTAGTGTTTTATACAATGTACTCAGTTCCTCTTCTCGTCATTCATCCTTGCACTGGTTTATCTTCTGCTTCACCATCCTCCTCTCCATCCTCTATCACCTCCCATATATCCATCGATATCCACTCCTTGTTTTCCTTCTTCTTCCTTCCTGATACGGTTGTGCAGGTTTCTTTCCACATCTCTCTCAAAGACTTCCAGTGCTCATCCACACAGGTTCCTTCACGGATGTTGTTCGATATCTCCCATTTTGTCTTGATGGCTGCCGTGAAGATTCCCTTTGTAATTTCATTCATCAGTTCAGTTTGTGTTCTGGGTGTTCAACTTGAACTGTGATCTATCACCAGCTTCTTTGAAGGCTTTCAACTTGACTTGGAAGGTAGGTAGGTTCCTCGCACTAGATAGTGAGTGGTGTGAATCTACATCTGCTCCTCTTCTTGATCTGATATTCTGTCCAGTAGGCTGCGTCTCTATCCTCTTCACATTGAGATGAAATCGATCTGATTTTCAGTGTGTGTCCTGATGTCTGGTGAAATTAAGACCGTGTCGGTTTGTGGATATCCTTGTGCTTGAACACACTGCCTGGCCTCCAATCACCAAATCGCTAGATGCACAGAATTCTGCAAACAATTCTCCATTCTCCTTCATCACCTCACCGAGCACTTCTCGACACATGGTTTGTTCTCTTCCTGTGTTGTCCGCTCCTCCCACTTTGGCATTCATGTCACTCATTACAATGGATTTTGATGTCGCCAACTGGGGTGGGGTCCTGTCCAGTGTTGATTGCAGTTGTTTGTAGAATTCCTCCTTCTTCTCTTCCTCATCTGCATTATTTGTAGATGCGTAGTGTTGGCATTCTACGGTTGTGACTTTCCTTCCTCTTGACTTGAACCTCGCTGTCATGATCCTGATCGTTGAACAGATTGGTTCCCACTACATGAGAGAGAGCCTTCGATGCTGTTGGGGACATCATGATAGCCACTCCAAAACTCAGTGTGCTCGTGGATGTCTTCTGAGTGACAATGTCGGAGTAGATTATTGATTCTCCAGTTGACAGTCTGCAGAGTCCACTCCCATTCCATCTGCTTCGCCAATTCCAAGCACTTCAATGTGATACCCCCTCATCTCGTTTGCAATCTGGGCAGTCTTGCTAGGTTCAAAAATTGTGAGGACATTCCATTGCCCCATGCTTACTTTCGCTTTCATTGAGGGAGAGAAGATACATCGGCCGGGTCAATTGGCTTCCCGAAGGCTTTCACCAACTGGCGTCATTTCACCTCTCTGACTCCAGTGAGGAACAATGTTGTTTTTATTCTTTATATTTGTTTGTGCTTTGAAGTTTCTTTAGAGATTGGATTGTTTTTCTGGGGTAGGGTTGCTAGCCGTATGCCCGACCTTCCGTGTTTACTCGATCTTAGGACCGTCTAGTAACTAGTGAACTAGTTAACAAGGAGAGGTTAAAAAAATATGGAGCGCTTCATGATTTTGCTTGTTATCCTTACGCAGGGGCCCAGCTAATCTTCTTTGTATTGTTCCAATTTAGTATATGTACTGCCGAAGCGAGTACCTGGCAAAGTGATGACAAACTACAAAAGAATGTCAGGCGTTAATCTGCCATATAATAATGAAACTCGGTAGTTCTGGGTGCAAATGCCTAGATCAACGCGTACTCCGAGGTGAAATTGTTGTAGATGACGCTTTCAGTGAAATCACTTTCATTATGTACAGTGAAAATTGAGAATAATTAATTCAGCAATGTTAATGTAAGTTTTCTTACAAGAATATCTGCTTTTACTAATTTCGATATAGGAAAATGATATTTTCATGCCTCCTACGCTGATTTGTAAGAATTTGGTGGCTATTTTCAGTCAAAAGTCAAGTGATATGCACTTCTCATCCCTGAAGTTAAACGATGATAGGTCGAGTAGCGTAAAATTTGGTTGTCCAAAAACTACATAAAAACATCTGACTTTTTAATATTTCGAGTAAAAATGGTTATATAATGACAGGGTTATCTTGTTGGTTTTGAACAAACAGGGAAGGTCGTTTGAAACTAGATGAAAATCTTATTCATTGAGATTAAAAAATATATATGAAGGCAAATAACACCTGTAAAACATCAAACGTAAGTCTATCCTATATTACAAAATAATAATCCACATGAAATAGTCTATTCTTTCTCACAGTTTACGATAATCCATTGGTTCAGTCACACACTACAAATAAGATAAGGCTAGACAAAGAGACTGAGGAAACATATATATGTATATGTATTATCAAGTCAGAAGTAATTATCACATACGAAAAGAGACCTTGGGCGATGATAAATACTAATACACTTTCCTGAAAACAAACTAATGATGCGATTTGTGATAAAAGTGATTAAAAGAAGGAAAATGAAATATTTTACTTGATTATACTGTTGAACTACTAAAAGAATCCTGCTATTCTGATGTACACCTGTCGAAACTGAATGTTCCAAATCTAAAAATTACCTGCGTCTACATTGGTTGGTCAACGGAGGGAGACCATTGTTATTTTATCTTAGTCGTGAGTGCTGATAGAACTCTGGAAGTTATTTTACTAAGTGGTTAACATGCTAAGAGATTCACTATTGTGTTGTGCTTTGATTAATGTTAGGTGGTTGGAAGTAGTCACCAAGAAACCTTGAACCAGAACCTCACATTTGTTGACAGCAAGACGTATCTGCAACCCTGAGGGGACTGATGTCCTCTCTCTCAGTGGACTGCTTCTAACCAACTAGAACCAGTAAAGAACAGTGTTTTCTTTAATTATAACTTATTTTAATCAAGGTTTACGATTTGAAAGATCGTTACACAAATTAATTGACGCAGCAATTGAATACTACCGATCTCATTGAGATTCAAAACTAACACCCGTCACTTCGGATATTCAAGGTTATTTATTCAAAGAAAAATTTCAATAATGTTAGGTTTTAACATTTTAGTCTATTTGTTAGAAATGTCAACCAATGAAACAAACAGTATCACTTACTGGATAGCGTTTTGGACACAATTTATTGTCCATATTCGTATCAGGTAACTCCACAACTTCGAGACAGACTTTATATATTCCTAATCTACTATCTCCTTCTCTGTGATGACAAGGACAGTAGAATTTTCCATATATCTGGGACAGGTGCAAAATCATTTCTATCACTGTATGTGTTTGGTGTTGATTCGATAAACAAAGATTCGGTTATCAATCTCTCCCTCCATTACCCAACTAAGTTAGTTTTCAAAACTGTCACTCTATCCCAGCCTACTGTGTGATTGTGTGTCATCGCATGCAGAGCTATAGCTGAGATTTTCTCTAAATTCCTAATCCTTTTAAGACCTACTAATGTTAATTTAGCTAAGTTTTTGTACTCTATTATTCTAATCAACCCTGGTCGACTACTTAACCTGTCAATCATTGTAAGGGATTTGGTAAACTAGATTATTTTACCTAGTTGCATCGATAGGATCTTTTAACCTACGAAGTTTGTTTCTAAGTGAGTTTGTTGGTTTGAATGCCAGCCATTTTAATCCCAGCCAGCCCTATTGAGAATTCTTCGTAATGTTTCTGAGGTACCTTCCTTGTATGGTAACACAGTAGAGGCTTGGAATTCTCTCTTAACCCTGTCACCATTATTACCATTAGTAGTAGGATTATTATTAATAACATCTGTATTACTACTACCACTGCTAGTATTTTTCTTTCGATTTCTTATGGATTTATTTATAAATTTTGGTGGGTAATTATTGAGATCTAGGGCATTCTTGATTTGTCTGATTTCTTGTCGCAGATTTTTCGATCTGTTAGTAAGCTTTTTCGCTCTATCACCTAAGCATTTAACTAGGCCTACTTTAACTGAAATGGGGTGGGATGATTCGAAGTCTAAGTAGTGGTTCGAATGGGTAGATTTCCTGTAGACACTAGTCTCTAGATTCCCTTCTTGTATTCCTTTAATCTTGCAGTCTAACATTGCTAGCTCACCTTCTTCACTTTCTAAGTCACAGGTAAATTGGATTGCATTTAATACTGAATTTATACGTGCCAAGAACCTATTGATGTGTTCCGATTTCAGTACTGTAAACGTATCATCTACATATCGGAACCATATCTGTGGAGTAGGACTAAATGTTTGAAGGGCTTCCTGTTCCCAACTATCCATAAATACTTCTGCGATGATAGGAGATATTGGTGATACCATGGTAATACCTTCAGTTTGTTTATATATTCTATTTTGAAACCTAAAAACTGTAGATCTTAGGCACAATCGAACTCCTAGTATGATTTACTCGATCGGCAGCTTAGTTCGCTGCGTAAGTTCTTTGTCATCTTTAAGCCCATTTCAAACTGCCTCCAGAGACATGTTAATCGGTATGTTTGTGTAGAGGCTAGTTATGTCAAAACTAACCATTTTTTCACTGTCGTCTAAGTGTATGTTGTCTAACCTATGCTTTAAGTCATAAGAGTTGGTAAGTCCAGACTTTGAGTGATTTCTTATTGGACCTAACACCATTGCTAAATATTTAGACAACTCGTGAGTTGAAGTGTTTCTAAAATCTACTATAGGCCTGATGGGATAAACTGGCTTATGAATCTTAATAGTACCATACGTTCTACTGGGATTATTAGTTTTCGGCACTAAATTAAACCACTTTGACTCACCTAGAAATAGCTTCATCCAGCGTATCAGATACCCTGTCGATTTCTTGACTTTCATCGTAATAGTATACAATGACTTCTTAATTTCCTCATATGGTCCTGTTTCTATATGCTCGTTCACCTTGCAGATGTAGTCAGATTTGTTCATCACAACTACTGAGTTGCCTTTATCCGATTTGGCAATTACTATATTGTTATCATTTTGAAGGTTCCTGAGAGCTTCCCTCTCTGACTTGGGTAGATTAGATTTCACTTTCTTCTGTCGTTTCAGTATTAGAGCACACTGTGCTCTTACCTCATCTGCAATTGTCTTATCTACTGAACTTAACGATATTTCTTTTTCGGGAATGACATCTTCTGGTTTCAACTCCTTAACCGCTACATTGAAATTAAGACCTTTCTCTAGCACTTTCTCTTCTGTTGAGCTTAGGACTCTACTTGAGAGATTGACAACCCACTTTGACTTGTCGATCATCGGTGATATGCTATTGCTAATTTCATTACTGTTGACTGCATGCTTTTCTTCCATAAGTTTGCTGGACTTCTTAATCTGAGCACTTTTGGATTTCTTGAATGCGGCTGATCTTGCTTTATTGAAATTGTCCATCAGCAGCTGATAATCCTTTTCACTAACTGTTTGTGTCAGCTAACACTTAAGATCTTCAATATAATTCCTGATGTTGTGAAACTTTTTGACTATTCTATGAATTTCTTCTTTTAGACAGAGTTTACTGACATGTTCTATAGCTGCTTTGACTTTGTCTGTTGGAATCGGTGTACGTAGACGTAGATATTTCGGAATGATTTGATTTCTGAGACATCGAATACTGAATATACGGTGGTTTTTTTATCTGCCTTCTGTCTGTGAAAGTCGTGTGAGTTTGTTGATTAGTCTTCGAACAGGAAGACCATCTGTTTCATTAATATGAGTGTAAAACTTGGGCACTATGGTCGAGTGTAATTCCATTATAGCCTGTTTATTAGAAATATCTCACAGAAATATATAAAGACTGTCTCAAAGTTGTCGAGTTACCTGATATGAATATGGACAATAAATTGTGTCCGAAACGTTATCCAGTAAATGCTACTGTTTCACTGTATGATATTTCTAATAAACAGACTAAAATGGAATTATACTTTAATCCCAGCCTTATTGAGAATTCTTTCTAATGCTGTTGAGGTGCCTGCCTTGTATGGTGACACAGCAAGAGCTTTGAATTCTGTATCAACCCTGTTATCATTACGAAATCCTAACGAAATAAGAAACTTAGAAAAAAAACTCGGCTATAGATCTGCACACAATTTCGCACCATCATACAGTAGGGTGGGTGGGATAAACCGACAGTATTAAAAACTAACTTAGTTAGGTAGAGGAAGAGATTGTTATCAAATCAACACCAAATATACGGAACAGAAATGAATCTGCACCTGTCCCAGATATTTTGAGAATACTACCCTTGTCATCACAAAGAAGGAGAGAAAAGTTGTGGAATTACCTGATATGAATAGGGATAATAAAATGTGTCCGAAACGTTATCCAATAAATGATACCGTTTTGCTGTGTGACACTTCTAATAAACAAACTAAAATAGAATTACAATCTACCACAGTGCTCAAGTTTTACTACTATATTAGTGTTTAGTTTTGAGAGAATGACCTTCAGATATAGTAGAGAATTCGGACTCATTCATGCAGAAATGAGCCCCTCCTAATAACTGTCACTTCGGCACTTCAGATAGTTGATGGCAAGTTTGATACCTACCTGAGAGACAAAGGTGATGCTTGAACGATCATGGAATAATACAATACTAATATTTCAAGTTGTTATTCATCGAAGACTGACATCAGTTGGAGGAACAAAGGAAACCTGGGAGCACTGGACAGCTGTTTCGTCCTAGTATGGGACTCCTCAGCAGTGCGCACCCACGACCCCACCAGCAGGGATTGAACCCGCGACCTTCAGGTTCCGCGACCAGCGCGTTACCATTGAGCCACTCAAAAAATTTAACAATACTAATAGTCAAATTGACAAGCCTACTTCCTTTAGTTGAAGTGCTCTACTATTTATTTATTTATTTATTTATTCATGAATGTTTATGAACGAAATGTACGCTTATTGTAAAACCACCTATGAATATGTCGAATATATTTTTAAATCGATCACTATGATTTTATCCTTATGGTACTAATTTTCAAATCATTGAAATGAATAAATTACCTCAATAGTTTCAAGTGCTGGTGTACCATCACGTAGTTTACGTGCCACTTCTTTTGGTATACACTGATATAAAAGACGATCAGTTATTTTCCTCATTTCATCCAAATGTTTCATACTTCTTTCTAGTTCTTCACTTTTTTTACGTTGCTACAATAAATTAAGTGATATAATATGAAAGGAAATGTAAATTAATGATATTTAAAGACAGTAATTCTTGAGAAAAATTAAATCTAAACGATGGGATATTGAAATAACACTAATAATGGTTATAATAATAACACTGTTACTATAAATGAGATCTATTTTAAAATCCTAGTAACGTAGAAAAATAAATTTCTGGCATTTCACAAGTTCGTGGAAATCGCTTCTCCAGGGGGTACAACCTGTACAAATTAACCTCAGAAAACATTACTACGCAGTCTTCATTAGTGCCATGCTTTCGGATAGGCATCCCAGCTTTCATATGAGAAGCAGTGAGCAGTGGGGTCAACCAGTTGGAATTGAAATGGAAGTTAACTGAAAGCCCTGGACGATAATCATTTTATACCGTGAATCGACAGACGTAGGAAACTATGAACCATTGAGCTCCTCAGACCTAGTGGCTGGATGGTTAACGTGGTTGACTTGAAACCTGAGGGTCCTGAGTTTGATCACCGGTGAAGTGGGTTCGTGGGGGATACTGCTGAGGAGACCCATAATACGGCAAAACAGGTGTCAAGTTCCTAAAGATTTTCAGTGGTTTTTCAAGTGATGTCACTACATGATACATACTACCTTGAAAGTGTTTTGTTAACAGTTGCAATTACTGAGAAGATTCAGTGAAGTAACACCAAAAACTATTAAATGTAAAAACAAAAATGCCAATGATGATATAACAGTAAAAAGATAAATCTTATAAAGATAGAAGTCAAAAAATAACAAGACAAACCAAGATCAAATTACGGCGAATATATAGAGAAACCGCATGCAATTTTTTACACACGAACATCAGACATCAGTTCCTCAATAGCCAAGGCCTCAGCTGATGTTATAAGCTGAACGTAGAGGAAACGTGAAATGTTTGAATGAATTAAACAGACAGCCTTCAGATCACTGTTTGAGACATTTGTATGGTTGGAAATGGTTAAACGTTCAAGGATGGAATTTCTAACTCATTTATTTTCATCCTTATAAAGTCAGGCTGGAATATGTTCTCGTACATACGTTGTCAAACCTCGCCTGGTTAACTAGTTCACTAGTTACTAGACGGTCCTAAGATCGAGTAAACACGGAAGGTTGGGCATACGGCTAGCAACCCTACCCCAGATAACCAATCCAATCTCTAAAGAAACTTCAAAGCACAAACAAATATAAAGAATAAAAACAACATTGTTCCTCTCTGGAGTCAGAGAGGTGAAATGACGCCAGTTGGTGAAAGCCTTCAGGAAGCCAATTGATCCGGCCGACGTGTCTTCTCTATTCTCGATGAAAGCGAAAGTAAGCATGGGGAAATGGAATGTCCTCACAATTTTTGAACCTAGCAAGACTGCCCAGATTGCAAACGAGATGAGGAGGTATCACATTGAAGTGCTTGGAATTGGCGAAGCAGATGGAATGGGAGTGGACTCTGCAGACTGTCAACTGGAGAATCAATAATCTACTCCGACATTGTCACTCAGAAGACATCCACGAGCACACTGAGTTTTGGAGTGGCTATCATGATGTCCCCAACAGCATCGAAGGCTCTCTCTCATGTAGTGGGAACCAATCTGTTCAACGATCAGGATCATGACAGCGAGGTTCAAGTCAAGAGGAAGGAAAGTCACAACCGTAGAATGCCAATACTACGCATCTACAAATAATGCAGATGAGGAAGAGAAGAAGGAGGAATTCTACAAACAACTGCAATCAACACTGGACAGGACCCCACTCCAGTTGGTGATATCAAAATCCATTTTAATGGGTGACATGAATGCCAAAGTGGGAGGAGCGGACAACACAGGAAGAGAACAAACCATGTGTCGAGAAGTGCTCGGTGAGGTGATGAAGGAGAATGGAGAATTGTTTGCAGAATTCTGTGCATCTAGCGATTTGGTGATTGGAGGCCAGGCAGTGTGTTCAAGCACAAGGATATCCACAAACCGACACGGTCTTAATTTCACCAGACATCAGGACACACACTGAAAATCAGATCGACTTCATCTCAATGTGAAGAAGGTAGAGACTTAGCCTACTGGACGCAAGATCAGATCAAGAAGAGGAGCAGATGTAGATTCACACCACTCACTATCTAGTGCGAGGAACCTACCTACCTTTCAAATCAAGTTGAAAGCCTTCAAAGAAGCTGGTGATAGATCACAGTTGAAGTTGAACACCCAGAACACAAACTGAACTGATGGATGAATCTGCAAAGGAAATCTTCAGGGCAGCCATCAAGACAAAATGGGAGATATCGAACAACATCCGTGAAGAAACCTGTGTGGATGAGCACTGGAAGTCTTTGAGAGAGATGTGGAAAGAAACCTGCACAACTGTTTCAAGAAAGAAAAAGAAAAGAAACAAGGAGTGGATCTCAACGGATATATGGGAGGTGATAGAGGATGGAGAGGAGGATGGTGAAGCAGAAGATAAACCAGTGCAAGGATGAATGACGAGAAGAGGAACTGAGTACATTGTATAAAACACTACACTGGACAAAGAAGTGAAGGAGAGTGGACGCCAAGACAAAAGACACTTCTAGGACACACTGGCGAGTGAAGCAGAACAGGCTGCATTTCGAGAGACCTGACAACATTATATCAACATTATGTCAGATAAGCAGATTGCTATCTGGGAAGAGATCGACGTAGATGAAACCAATGAAAGACGGTGAAGGAAACTTAGTTGGCAAAGAGGAGAAACAAAGGAAACGATGGGCCGACCACTTCAAGAAGCTCTTGAATCGACCACCATCACCACCTGCAGCCACAGAACTACATGTGAACATAAATCCTCCAACAAAATTGGAAGTCGTGAACGCCATAAAGCTACTGAAATGTGGGAAATCAGGGGAACGAGATGGAACCCCTTCACAATCACTGAGAGCAGACGCAGAGACAACAGTGGACATGCTCACACCACAATATTCCAGAATGTCTGGAGGGAGGGGAAGGTACCTGGCGATTGTAAGAAGGGTTAGCTTGTCAGACTTCTGAAGAAGGGTGAACTTAGCCTTCGTAAGAACTGGCGCGGAATCACGCTCATGTCCTTCTCCAGGAAAATAATAAGCCACACCATCCTGCAGAAACTAAAGGATGCACTGGATTCAAAACTACGACCGGAACAGGCAAGCTGGCTTCAGGAAGCACAAAACGTGTGCGGAAAAAATTGAAATGCTACGCTCCGCATCATCATACAATAGAGTGTAGAATGAAAGTCAACACTCTACCTCAACTTCATCGACTCTCAAAAAGCTTTTGACAGAGTCGATCGACAAGTAATTTGACAGGCAGTTGCTTCAACACTTCGAAATACCACAAACCTTCATCAATATCATTCAACTACCATATAATGACAACACATGTCAAGTAATTCACAATGGAAAGCTCGGTGATGCCTTCCAAGTGAAGACAGGAGTGAAACAATGCTGCCTACTATCACCCATGATATTCCTGATTGTGGTCGACTCGACTGGATCACGCAACAAACAGTGGGTAGCTGTGAGAGGAGGGGGATACACTGGCTGGACTGGGGAAAAGAACTTAGAAGACTTGGATTTCACCACCAATGACTTGTGTATGATGTCACACAAACTTGGAGATCTACAGGTGAAAACTAACAAGTTGACAGAAGAGGCAGTGTGAGGTGGCGAAGATGGGACTTCAAGTGAACGTAGAGAAGACACAGGTGATGAAGATACCGAAACAACAACACCAGCAACAACAACAACAGCAACAACAACAAACTCCAATCATCATCGAAGGGAGAAACTTGAAGGAAGTAACCTCCTTCACCTATCTAGGCAGCACCGTTTCAACTACAGGTGGTGGTGGCACAGACGAGGACGTCAAAGCAGCCAGGATCGAAAATACAGCAAGACAGGTGTTCATTAACCTGAAACCAGTGTGGAGATCTTCTGCACCGCACTGAGCATGAAGCGTGAACAAGATTCAGATTTTCAACACCAACTCAGTCAAGTCAGTGCTTCTGTATGTCTGAGAGACTTGGTGCGTTACGAAAGGTATTTCCAACAGAATACAGACATTTATCAGCAACTGCCACCTACGCTGGCTCGTTGCTGAAGATCAGATGGATTGCCAGAGAGAATAAGCAACAAGGAAGTCTGTCTGTCTGTCTGTCTGTCTGTCTGGCTGGCTGGCTGGCTGGCTGGCTGGCTGGCTGGCTGGCTGGCTGGCTGGCTGGCTGGCTGGCTGGCTGGCTGGTGACGAACCAACCAAGAAGCTATCGCTCAATAAATATGCAGAAGAAAGTGGAGATGGGTTGTATTGGGCATACACTGAGAAGGCCGACTGGAGACATCATGCGTCAGGCCAGCCAGGCACTCGAGTGGAACCTAGATGGGAAGCGACGTGTTTGGCGTTTGAGGTGAGGGTGACCTTGAGGAGATCGTGGGAGGAGGAAATGGGAGCTTGTGGGTTGTTGTGGAGCCAGGTTGAAAATATTTCAGATAAGAGAGTGAAATGTAAACTTGCTAGTGAAAGCCTATGTTCCATTGGAAGCTCACGGGACAAATGAATAATAAATAAATGTATGTGTCGTCAGCAATCTCTGTCTACGACCAATGTATGTTGCAGTTCAGTGTTGTCTAATCTGATCATAAGGTCATACTGCAAACTTAGCAGACTTCGACTCACAGTTAGGTTTCAAAGGTTACTTGGGTTAACAAATCATATCTGAATGATAATTATTGATGAGATTAACTGAGGTACCACTAGTTTAGTAAACTGATATTATTTATACAGGACGCTGGTTAGAAGTGAAAGAAAATCTGGATTGCAGCAGGACTGTAGCTTAGCTAATTAAGCTTTAGCATAGTTAGAAGAACGTCAGGCCGGTAACTCATAGGCCATTGGTTTGAACCTTGCCGTGATCCAAGCTTTCACTACACATTAAGTCATAGTCGGATTCTAGTGAGTTCATGAGTTTCAACGCTTTGATGTCCGGTGACG